CCCCCAGTGCTGCCCCTGCGCGCCCGCCCGCTCCTTCGTGCACTGTTGTCATGGAGGAGCCAAGATGGCGGCCCTGGCCTACACCTTGGGCAAGCGGGAGATCAACCACTACTTCAGCGTGAGGAGCGCCAAGGCGTTAGCGCTGGGCGCTGTCTTGGTGCTGGCCGCCTGTCACGCCGTCTCCCGTCGCTACCAAGGTGAGTTAGAGGCTGCCCCTGCGCGCCCGCCCGCTCCTTCGTGCACTGTTGTCATGGAGGAGCCAAGATGGCGGCCCTGGCCTACACCTTGGGCAAGCGGGAGATCAACCACTACTTCAGCGTGAGGAGCGCCAAGGCGTTAGCGCTGGGCGCTGTCTTGGTGCTGGCCGCCTGTCACGCCGTCTCCCGTCGCTACCAAGGTGAGTTAGAGGCCCGGCCGTGGCGTGACAGAAGCGGGGAGGGGGCGGGAGAGCGGTGGGCGCCCCGTTTCTCCCACCTGGAAACGACGAGGCGGGGAGAGGAGGGCGGTAGAAGGGGGTCGTTGGGGTCCCCTGAGGGGAAGGAGGCGGCGTCCCAACCGGGGAGCGAGGCTCCCGACTGCCCTCACGATCCCGGGCTGCGTCAGCCTCTGGAGAGCGGCCGAGGATAGGGGAACCCTTTGGCCCCTCTTCGGGTGCCTCGATCCGGACCCTACTTTATCTCCTTCTGTAGCAGGGCACAATATCAAGGAAAAGAAGCTGGCTTGACACCTGCTCAGCCTCGCCACGGTCTAAACCGCCTGCCCCACTTCCACGCGGCTTCCCTTTAGGCTAGCGGGCTTCAGCAAGCAGAGCGACCTGTGTGACTCAGAAGCTGCCTTCTCCGCAGCCGCGATCGAGCCTCCCAGGCTTAAGAAAGAGCCTCCCTTCCTTGCGCTTTTGTTTAATTTGTTACCCGCTTAGCAGGTTGTAGCGGATTCGGGGTTGCTTTTTAAATAAACTCCCGCCCCGAGGTGTGCGGCGGCTAATTAGGGCCGCGCAGTGTAAACAATGGAAGTGTGTGGGAGCGACGAGTGTCAATCGTGTAGCGTGGCAGTCCTTCATGGAAGCGACAGACCAAGGCAGATTTTGTGGATGGGGTAGATGATATAAAATATGGGGTTCAACATTTGAGATCCTTAAAAGCAAGAAAAGATTAGCCTGCCCTTCTCCCCTTTCCACCTGGTTATTCTCGATTAGTTACTTGTTTCCCAGAAGAGGTAGGGGTGGTGATCCAGAAATCCTGAGCTGCCCATATATGCAGAATAGCCAGGAAAGTAAGCCCCCCACCTGTTTTCCCTAAACAAAAACAGGTTGCCCAACCCCTTTATTTTACTCACTTAATTTGTATTCTGTCCTTACTTTCTGCAGACCTGGGTTAGTTGAGGAACAACAACCACTCAGAACCTCTTAATTCATGAGTGTGGAATTTGAATTGGAGTTACACACCTCCAGAACTAGTCCATAAGCCATAAGGATGCTCTGTACTATCTGAAAAAGATATAAGAAAGCACTTATGGTCAAATGGGTCTTAATAGTCACATTAAAACCACAAGAAATCTCAGGTCCTATTGTTTTCTACAAAAATAGGAGTGTTGGAACACAGGAGAACAACATTGTGATTTCCCTATCGGCATCATGAAATTTCTCACACCAGTTGCATGTGCAGGTGGATGTCCTCACAGACCATATTGTGTCATGTGCTTGTAGGGACAGTTTTGCACTGAAACACTGAAATAAAAAAAAAATCTGTGTAGGGTGCCTATGGTTATGTAATTTTAAGGAACTTTCAGTTTATCTAAAAGTGTGGTGATGTTTCTCACTTCAGAATTAAGTGGAACATGTACCTCCCATGGAAAGAATGTTTGCCTTTTTTGATTCTTCTGGAATTCCTAAGGGACCTTTCGTTTGCTCAGTACTGTCCCAGAGGATTTCTCATTGCTTAGCAATGTGCTAAGGCATCTTTTATTGCCAAGCAATGTTTTGTTTACTCTAAAGTAATTGTTTTAATGTACCTAGGTGTGTATAATTTGGAGGCCAGATACAGTATTCTTCTTTCTTCCACCCCATATGGTATGTTTGTCATTAGTTCTTAGATAAAGAAACAAACAGAATCTTGTAGCATCTTAAACACTGGATAGCTTTCTTGTACCATAAACCTCCATGGAGGATTGTGTCATGTGCTTCTAGGGACAATTGTTTTGTACTGAAACACTGACATAAAAAATCTGTGTAGGGTGCCTATGGTTATGTAATTTTAAGGAACTTTCAGTTTATCTAAGTGTAGTGATGTTTCTCACTTCAGGATTAAGTGGAACATGTACCTCCCATGGAAAGAATGTTTGCCTTTTTTGATTCTTCTGGAATTCCTAAGGGACCTTTCGTTTGCTCAGTACTGTCCCAGAGGATTTCTCATTGCTTAGCAATGTGCTAAGGCATCTTTTATTGCCAAGCAATGTTTTGTTTACTCCAAATTAATTGTATTAATGTACCTAGGTGTGTATAATTTGGAGGCCAGTTACAGTATTCTTCTTTCTTCCACCCCATATGGTATGTTTGTCATTAGTTCTTAGATAAAGAAACAAACAGAATCTTGTAGCATCTTAAACACTGGATAGCTTTCTTGTACCATAAACCTCCATGGAAGAGGTAGTCTTTTTCTGTATGTGGTGTTACCCCCATGTTGGCAGGAGCACATGCTCCTGGTTGTAGTGAAAGCAAATACAGTATAAACTGTGATCTTGTGTGGAAAGGAAATAGATTAAATTAAGTCACTGATAATTGTGTTGAAGCACACATGTATATGAAATAAGCAATTACCACAGTATTTGTGGATGGTAACACAAACTTACTTAGTTAAAACTAGTAGTGCAAAAAAGCAAATTGTCTTGAGTCATTCCAGAATAAAACTTACTGATAATTTATAATTGAGTAATTTAACATAAACATGTTCCCTTAAAGTTCCTTTGTTCGGGAGAAATAATTTTAATGTCAGCAAGAGAGTGTTCTGGGATACTGCAATTTGTCCCACTGTGTCATGAGTGCAGCCGAAGACCCGGAACCAGAAGGGTTAACTGAGGCTGAAGAGAATGCTGAGAGATCAGAAACACCTGAGCTGCGACCAGATTCTCCTTCCCCAGCAGACAAGCTTCGGGCCAGGCTTTGGGAAAGACTTAGGACAAAAAGGTCAGAGGATCGCTCAAAGGCTGTCCACAGAAATATTTGTTCAACTAGCCCTGAGTATTAACAGGATGGAAAGGTTTCGTGAAGCACACATGTATATGAAATAAGCAGTTACCACAGCATTTGTGGATGGTAACGCAAACTTACTTAGTTAAAACTAGTACAGTAGTGCAAAAACGCAAATTGTCTTGATTCACTCCAAAATAAAACTTACTGATAATTTATAATTGAGTAATTTAACATAAACATGTTCCCTTAAAGTTCCTTTGTTCAGGAGAAATAATTTTAATGTCAGCGAGAGAGTGTTCTGGGGTACTGCAATTTGTCCCACTGTGTCATGAGTGCAGCCGAAGACCCGGAACCAGAAGGGTTAACTGAGGCTGAAGAGAATGCTGAGAGATCAGAAACACCTGAGCTGCGACCAGATTCTCCTTCCCCAGCAGACAAGCTTCGGGCCAGGCTTTGGGAAAGACTTAGGACAAAAAGGTCAGAGGATCGCTCAAAGGCTGTCCACAGAAATATTTGTTCAACTAGCCCTGAGTATTAACAGGATGGAAAGGTTTCTAGCAGCTCAAGGAGCTGTTTTACTATAAAACAGCTCCTAGTCAGCCAGAATTTCTGTGGAAGCAACGAGTCAAAACCCCTGGCTTGCATCCACGCTCCTTGAACCATGTTCCTGACTCTGGGTTCTGATGCTGGACTACGCTGTGTATCTGACTCTGGACTCTGACCTTGGACTGCATTCTGTAAGTTGGTTTATGGACATTGGCTTTGTATTCTTGGTATTCCTGACCCTGGACTGGTTAATCGGACTTTGGCTGCTGTAACCCCCAGGAACGTGACACACTGATTCTTAGATTCTGTCTAGTATAATGCTTTGTGTAGGTACTGACCTGTTTTAAGTAACAATCAGAAGGATAGTGCAGGAAGATGGTAATATCTATGTATCAGGTTGGAAGAAGTACAAATGATGCGTTCTGCATATTATGGCTGATGCGTTTAGGTACTGAAATATTGTTGCTTGACTAAATCCAGACCTGGTATTTGTGTTTGTTGCAGTGCTTGACTAAATACAGACCTGGTATTTGTGTTTGTTGCAGTGTCATGTGTCTCAGTTGGATGGTCTGTTTTTCCTGATAAGTCTTTTGAATTGGAGGGAACTACGTATACAGTACAATCCAGGGCCTATGGGAGGGAAGAGTAATGGTCCAGGATTGCTGCAGATCCCTAATGCTACATTGAAATGTTTTTTTCTGTGACAAATGTTGCCTGTCATTTTCTCTTTTGGTCTGTCCTGTAGTAAATTACTTCTGCGTACCACTCTGGTGTTGTTGATCTGATTTTTCATTTTATTGGGTGGTTACTGTAATCCAAGATATCCAGATGTAAATCCTTAAATTGTGAACTTTTGTTTGGCAAACTAAAACAAATGTGATGCATATTGTCTATATTGACTGTGTGCCATCAAGTCAATTCTGACTTATGGCCACCCTTTTAAAGATTTTTTAGGTAAAGAATACTCAGAGGTAGTTTGCTATTCTCTTCTTATGGGGCATCCTGGGACTATGCAGCTTGCCCATGGTCACACAGGCTGGCCTTTCTGGGATGCTGTGTGCCATCACGTCATTTCTGACTTACGGCCACCCTTTTTAAGAATTTTTAGGTAAAGAAGACTCAGAGGTAGTTTGCCATTCTCTTCTTATGGGGCATCCTGGGACTATGCAGCTTGCCCATGGTCACACAGGCTGGCCTTTCTGGGATGCACAGTGGAAGCAGAACTCTCAACATCTAGCTACACAACCAGATACCTAACTCACTGAGCTATCCAGCCAGCTATATTATCTACAATAATTATCTGCTTTCAAGTCACTTCTGACTTGTGACAATCCTTTTCAAGGTTTTCCAGGTAGAGAATACTCAGAAATGGTTTACCATTCCCATCTTCTGGGGTTGCCTTTAAATTGTGCAGGCCACACAAGCTGACTATACTTGCAGGAGGCACAGTGGAGAATTGAACTC